CTGCACAGGGAGGACGGAGAGCGGGGGGGATCGGAGAGGCGGAGGAGGGACGGAGAGGGGGGAGGGACGCGGCCCACAGTCGGGAGGGACTTGGAGAGGTGGGAGGGACGGAGAGGGGGCGAGCGGACGGATGAGGGGAGGGCGGCAGAGGGGGAGGGAACGCGGGACATGCGAGCGGTGCAGGAGGACAGGGAGGACGGGGAAGGATGGGAGGGGAGGACGGGAAGAAAGGGGGAGGGATGGGAAGGGGAGGGGAGGGACGGGGAGGGATGGGGCGAGTCGAGAGTAATCCGAAATCGATACGCGCCCAGCCGGCCTGCGTGCCGGCGCCGCCGCCCCCGGCCGCAGCCACGCGACCCGCAAAAATTTCCCAAAATGCGGGCAGCACGTGGCGTCATCACGATGGAGCTCGCACCGCTAACCTGCCTTTAGCGCTCGCTCCGCGCACAATTCGCTGTGGAATAGCGTCGGCGAGGTTAGTACAGTTGCCCACTACATCCGCATACCTTTCATTCACTTTATGTACTTGCAACGGACGTGTAAGTTTTAAGTTCTAAAGAGGTATCCCACTTATCTCCCTTATGTATTCCTTTATCATTCCCATTATAAATAAATGCGTATGTAAGTATCATAACTTATGCAAACGCAACTCTGGTTAGTGAACTCGGATATAAAAAAAACCTCGGCTATAGTGGACTGAAGTCCCATTTCACTTACATTACAAATAAGCATAAGAAAATTCGGTTATAGTTAACCTGAACCACGGCTGTGGTGAACGTAAGAAATACGTGTTGGAAATTCATTCGCTCCTGCAAAATAATATATCGCCTCAATGCCACAATTTCCAACACAAGGTCGTAATCAAAGAAGTCTCAGAATCGAAGAGTTGCAAGTAGAGGACCCGGAATAGGCACCTTACTGATTATCTTATGCCACCCAATTACAAAGGTTGTGTCCTGTGTGGGCGGCAACGCGCGATTGCTTTCTTCGGTTGCAATCTTGGTGTTACTTGATAAAGCGCGTTAAGTTGTACGTACTAAGCCCGTGACTGCCACAGACTGGCGATATCCGACGTGCCGCCCCGAAAAGCGATCAGTTTCATTAGCCGCTTGCACCATCCTGCTACCGAAAGCATCTGTATGTTTTAGGCGAGTAAAAGGGCCTTCCGAGAGTGGGACGGTGTTTCAACAGTGCAAGAGGCAATGAAGGGTGTCAAGACTGCATTACGATACTTAGACGCAGAGGACAATGCAGAATCAAGTATGGAGAGAGCACGAACTCTGGAGAAGGAACTAGAGAAATTACTAATGAAAAATGTTCGAAGAAAACAATTGAAAATTTTAACTACAAATAATAGTATTGAAATTTTCAAGCCGTGCTGTGTTCGTCATGTATTTTGCTGTATTA